GTCGACGTGGAGGTGGTGTTGCTGGTGGTAGTAGTAGTCGTCGTAGTCGTAGTCGTGGTCGTAGTCGTTTTCGTAGTCGTGGTCGTAGTCGTAGTCGTAGTCGTAGTCGTAGTCGTAGTCGTCGTGGTCGTGGTGGTGGTGGTGGTGGTGGTGGTGGTGGTAGTCGTGGTGGTGGTGGTAGTAGTAGTAGTAGCAGGAGTAGGAGTGAGTAGGAGTAGGAGTGGGTGTAGGGGTGGGGGTAGGAGTAGGAGCAGGAGTAGGTCTACGTGTAGGTGTAGGAGTAGGAGTAGGAGGAGTCGTCGTCGTAGTAGGAGCAGTAGTAGTGGTGGTGGTGGTGGTGGTGGTAGCAGTAGTAGTTCTAGTTAGCCGTAGCTCGAAGTAGTTGGTTGTTAGCAGTAGTTAGAAGTAGCCAGTAGCTCGAGTTGAGAGTTGGTAGTCAGCTAGTTGTTGGTAGTTAGCACATGTAACAATGTAAAGTAGTAGTTAGTCAGGAGGACGATTCAGCAGCAGGAGCATCATCAGCAGTAGCAGTCGTCCTCGTTGCTTGTGCTGCAGTGGTAGCTGCGACAGTGGGTGGTGTTGGTGATGATGGTGGATCGTGGTAGCATTACAACAATAGTATGTAGCATCATGGCGACTGTACTGCTGAGGCTGAGCGGCTGGGCATATTGTGCGCCAGGACAGATACCACATCTTCCCGCTTACGAAAGCTCACACAGTTTGGTTGGGCAGGATTGGCCTCTGCAGCAGAAACGAGGCTGCCAAATATGCGAGACCGGAGCTCAGCTGGACATGAGTTCTCTTTCCAGCTTAGGAGCTCGTGAGGGGAACCCGAAGTTTCTCGCAGTGAAGAGAAGGACTCGGGCAAATCTTGGTGGATGGTCAGCCAGCGAAGAGTGCGGCTGCCGGAAGCCTCAGAAAGCTCTGCAGAGCTAGGCACAGTGTGTGAAAGCTTGCCTTGGCAATGACTATCGAACGTGAGCATGTGGAGGCCCGAGTGCTTGGAGTCCCTGGATACTCTGAACAGTGATGAGAAACCCTTCCGCCATGCATGTATGCATGGATGGATGGATGCATGCATGTAGGTACGTATGTACGTATGTATGTATGTATGCAGGACCAATGCCCGGGTGTATGTTATTGTATGTATGTTCTTGTATATATTTATGTATGTATGTATGTATGTATATATGTATGTATGATCGTACGTACTTATGTCTTTGTCTATGAATACTGAGTACAGTTCACATGTGGGTATACTCGTGCTTGACAGCGCTACCAGAATGAAGCACAACAAGGTCTGTTTGCGGTGTGTTTTGGGCCATTGTAGGATTGCATTGAGTATGTATATGTATGCATGTGTGTATATATATATATATGTGTGTGTGTGTGTGCATGTATGTATTTACCTGTTATATTAGCACAACTTGCAAAAAATGAAGTGCATAACTAGTAGTAATGTCGTAGTCGTAGCATACGAATCTTGTCGTGATTGGTATGTACTATACATATATATATATATATATATGTATATACACACACATATGGACGCCAAGATGTCACGATTCAACTGCAGAGCACCCTGGGAGAGCCTCAGCCCACAGTTTGGCCCGCCTGGCACCACACCCAAATTTAGAGCCTAAACTCCGAAAGCCCTCCTTAAACTGGGTGGTTGTCAAAATTATGGTCCTTTTTTGGGTCCTTATTATAATACGGCACCTATTATTTAGGGTACCCCAAAAGGGACCATAATTTTGACAACTACCCAACTGAAGTCATAGTCCCACGCTGTCAATCCCTGAACTGACCAGCCCCGATATTCGCAAGCTCAGGCCCTCGTGTCCAGCACTGCGACCATTGAGCTGACCCCTCGGGCACAGCGCATGCAGGCCGCACAGCGTGTTTGGGGGACAGGAGGCTCCAGAAGAGCCTGAGATGGTTTGGTTTGGCGGAGGGATTGCTCGGCCAGACCTTGAAAATCATCATGAACTCTACCGTTTCTCCAAGACTCGTGCTCCGAATACTGCAGTTTTCTGCGCATCATTCTGCCGAGGTTTCTTGCATCGGACGTGTGATGGTGGAACTGAGTGTTACAGTATTCGGGTGCTACAGCTCCTGATTCCTGAACCCAAATCGCTACACCTTACGCCCTCGACATTCAAGCATTGACGGAGAGGTGTGTTGAAACGTCTTTCGGCTTCTGAGCAAATCATGTGCCTGAAAGGAAAAGATACTCTTCTTAGATAATGTGCCCCGATTACGTACTCTGAACCATATGCAGTAAAGCATGAAAGATCGCGGATCGCATATGCTTACATTAACAAAAGATAACCAGCTTCCAGGACGACAAAGTGACCATCCTGCCATGTCCCCAGCCTGTTTGCTAAGTGGGTCTGTCTTGAAGATGATTCTCCTCCTTCGATCGTTTTGAATAAACACAGTGCCAACCAGCACTGTCAAGAAATCTACGTCGGAGTGGAGCAAGACTCAAGGCGTAGGGTTTAGGGTTTAGGACGCTAAACCCTGAACCCTAAACGCGAAGCCCAAACCGTAAACCCGCTTTGCTGCTGGGTTCGAGGCTGCACAAGCCGGCCCACTATGCCTCCTGCAGGGCAGGGAAGGGCGTCCCGTTGGCCCGAAAGCTCCTGGCCGAGGGCTCAGGTCTCTTCAGGAGGCTCCGTGGATTGTGTGTGTGTGTATACATATATCAATATATCTATATATATATATATAAACATAGATATACATATGTGTATATTACCTTACGTTATACTATATACACTAGAAAACATGTTGTGTATCATGCGGACATGAAAGGTGCCTGAAAACCGGGCGCCAAGCTGTCGAACTCGACATGACCCGCCTTGGCCTCAGTTGCCTGCATGCAGGGAAACGATGTCACGGACGCCCGAGTACTCAGGCGCCAGCTAAGCAAGCTGGATGCGGCGGATGTTCTGGACGAGGCTACGCTGGGGCCTCGGTGTCGCTCTGCAACGGTGTCCGACATGACGGTGGTCATAGCCAGCGTGGCACAGTAGTCGTCGTCTTCGTCGTCGCCGTGTCGTAGAGCTGGAGCGGTAGTCCCACAAGATGGTGATGGTGGTGATAGCGATGGTGCCGGTGGCACAAACACATTCTAGTCGATTGTCTGTAGTAGTGGTTGTTAGCTGAAGAGGAGTCTTGGCACCGGTGATGTCATAGAAAACAGTGCCGCAGTAGCGATAACAACCGGGAGCATCGAAACGTAGATGTGGTCCAGGAGCGGAGCCCTCTTGTTCTCGCAGGACGGCCGGGCATGGGCCTCAGAGACGGGACTGACGGCCTGGATTAGGGGGTTGACGGTCTGGGACTTGAGGGTTGAAGCTTTAGGCTTTGGGGGTGCGCTGTGATTTAGATTTTAGTGTTCGGGGGTTGCGCAGCAGTGCTGCCCTAGTCGTGTTGTTCAGTTTTTTTCGGCAGGACACCAGAGCAGCTCAACTTACAATTTGACGACTTTCTGACCCAGTCGACATAGATTCCAAAGCCTAACGCCGAGACACCAAGCACAGCCTCTTGCTCAAATTCTTTGTTTCTGACAAGGTTTCGACGACTGTCGCGCGAGATCCCCTGGTTGAGAAGGACCCTGCCACTCACGACGTCGCTCAGTCGCGGTCATCGTCCCGTTTTGCTATAGTCCTGACTACAATGGCCGCAACAGAGTGCTCGTAGCAGTAAGCAGCAAACGCCAAGCACTGCGCCACCGTTGCATGGCGATAGCCAGGATAGTGAGCCCCACGATCGTTCTTCCAACAAGACTGGTCATCGAAAGTATTGATATCTGTTGGCTGCTGTTGATAACTGTCTGCCGTCAGCCCTACAACCCCTAAACCCTAAACCCAGTGAAGAGGAATATGACATCGTGACAACGGGTGAGGCCGGAGCGATCCATGTTTCAAGCTGCTGTGCTTGGGCTTGATGTTGTTGTACAAAAGAGTATACGAGATTGTGCAAAATATTTACCTACCACTCGTTTATACACAACAACCCAATGTAAAACATCTATACAGATATATATTTGTAAGTAGTATGTGTATATATATATATATGTAAAGTTGTCCATTGGTTTCGTTCTTTATTTATGTATTTAAAAATACACTCAGACATATACACACATGCACACATACACTACGGTTCGATTTACAGGTGCCGACACCTCTATTGAAACATACATGGTCCCTGCTTGTCGAGGTCACGTCTGGCCAACTATCAGCTCTTCAGCTAAACCTCAGCACTTTCTGCGAGCAGGAGGCTCATGTGAGGGACCCGGTGCTTCCTGGCCCCGTGTGTCGAAAGCCTTGACTTTCAAAGCTTGTCTGAAGGATGTTTCTTAGTAGCGTGATATTGGTTTTCCGATAATCTGGGGTGTTTACATTGGAGTGCTTTCTTTTTTCAGGTACCCGTCCTAATTTACTGCGAAGCTTCAGGAGGGACTACAGGCTGACTCTGGCAGTCCGATGCAAGGTCCGGGTGGTGCCTGGCTACATTCCCCGCGCAGAAAAAGTCCGTGGCTTACTGGCTGCTTCCTCGTGTTCTCTATCGATACAAAGCACACAGACACATAAAGTCTGAAGCATTTTGTTCACGCCTCTCCATGCTTATGATGGAAAAAGGCCGTCCATGAGTGCTGTGTATCAGTTTCTGCAGGGGAAAGCTTTGTGCCTTACCGTGCCCCAAACCTTCGATTCAGATCCCCCAAGCCCCGAAACCTGACCCTAAAATTGGGGTTTAGAGTTTAGGGGTTTTTAGGGTTTAAAGAATCCCCATATCCTAGCCCCGCACACCCGACACCAGACCCCGACACTTTTAATTTCTGAGGCTCGGATGCTGAAGGAGGACCCTGCAGCTGTCGTTGAGGCTGGGTCGCAGCACTGCGGAGTCAGGGTTTGTGGTTTGGCTCTTTCTGGTGGCGAACTGTTGTTGGCTGGTGTTTGGGGGGGTGAGCGTTGGTTGATGTTTTCGTCGTGATGCTACTATAGGAGTTTTGCTTTTCGGGCAGCTTACACAATGGCTTAACATCTTATGCAATCCCTTTAGCAACGCCAGATTTCCCTCTTCAGAGCCAAGCATTGAGAGGAGGCGAAGCCCAGCACGTCCTCGCGCCTTCAAGTGGTCTTCAGCTTGATTCTCAACTTCACACGACGGCTTTCACGGGCCCTTGTACTCATGGCCCTTGCATTCGATATCTTTAGTACCAGAAGAGACAAGTTGCCCAAGGTGGGACCTTGACTTCATCTGCTCTACGGCAGATGCGCCTAGCCTGCATTTGCCAGAGGTGGGGTTCTTTGGCAGTGCCTAGCTCCTGGACAATTTGCCAGGTGTGCACAGGCCGGGCTCCTTCTCTTCCGAGTATCTCGCATCAGAGTCGGCAGTGTTCGACGCAGCCTCAGATATGCATTATGGGTAGTTCTCTAAATTAGGGCCCCCTTTCTAAAGGGAAAGCCTAATTTGGACAACTACCCGCATGGCTGTGTATGATGGGCATCAACTCGAATCCTGGCTTCTCGGATATTCAGAGGCTTGGGCAACCTGGTGCCGGGGCAGTGGACTGTAGTCCCAGGTCCGCAGCTTACCGATGCTTGTCGCGCTTGAACGGTTTGCGATGTAAGCCAAGCCCAGGTGTGGAGGCTTTGCTTCGCCAAAGCCACGAACCGATTAACGAAAAATGTGTGACACGCAGTACTTTCGAGTTGATGGTTGTTGAGACAAGTACAGAAAGAAGCCACTGCAACAAATCTCGCATGGGCGATTGCATGTCAGCATTTGGCTTCGCGGAATAGTCACTCGCCGTTGCTGGGCACAGTTCCTCCCAGCCGGACCCTCAATATCTACTTAGCGCTTGGCTGGCATCTCCTCGACCCGGCTCTCCGAAGCGTAGGTCTCGAGTTCCAGTGACATGGCGACCATTGAGTACGATGACGGCGGTATCAACAGGCCACGGCTACAGCTTAGCCGGCTCTGCCTTTTCTATCTCGACCACCTTGCCCACAGCCCCAGCCCATATGCCCTAACTCCAACCCCAAACCGGCAACGCCCTGAACCAGGACTTCAAAGGCATTGACACAGCCGAAGTCGCAGGCCCGTGCTCGTCGCACCTGCTATTCTAAGTCGAGCAAGACTTGGAGTTGTCATGATGGCATGTTTCATTCCTACCTGCACCCGCATCTCTGCCTTGACAGGGGGCCTCCCAAGCGATGCTGCATGCTGTTGGCATGAAGAAGGAAGATCTCAACAAAGCGCAGGCACGGATTCTCTTGGAAATCGTCCCTAAGTGACTGGATACCCAGCTGTGCAGCTGTTCAGTGGCAGTACCTCAATGTGCTGAAGAGCATCCCGTGCTTGCAGGTTGGAATTTGCTCTGTGTGGTATCAGGGCAACCCATGCAACATGCACCTTCTTTCTTTGGGGGATGATGTCAAGAAGGAAGTGGACAAGGAGTCTGAGCTCTCGCTGCCACGTCGGTCGGCGAATCATTCCGACATGTTTTTGCCTGGAGCTCCTAGGCCGCTTGCCGCAGGATCCCAAGATGTACGGCTTCCAATTCAACACGATTGGAGTTTCGGACGGTATGTCCATGGGTACCAAAGGCATGATGTACTCCTTGCCGTCCCGCGATGCTCGGCTGCAAGTCCGTCTGCTGACTCTACAAGCCTCGACAAAGCCAAGTCAAACTGCGGCTTCGGGCAATCCTCGTCTCTTGAAAGGTTTCAACTTCAACGTTTTAGCATGTCGCTTGCCTTCGCCCTGGAGTTTGTTTGTCTTGATTCGAAGGGTTGCAGATGGGCTGTTCTAGGTCAGGCTCCACCAAAGCCTCTATACTGATACCATACTGATTTCCTGGCCGCTTGATTTTCTCACAACCCTCCACCGCTGACAAGGAGATCATCGCCGACAGCATCGAATCAGCTGCTCGGATCAAGAGGGGGGTTCTGAAAAGAGGGAACCCTGAAATGATAGCATCCTTAGTATAAGCACATATTATTATAATGGCGCCATTTCAAGAATCCCTCAATTTGATTCAGCCCTTGTCCGTGAGCTCAGATGTTCTACAGCTTTTGCACGTCCCCCTTACGACTGCAGTAGCACGCTGACTTTGAGAATGCCTCGACTAGAAGCCTAGCCTAGACGTCCCAAGACCCACAACATGCATGATGTCGTTCTGGCTCTGAGAAAGAACCCGTACATACACACATCTTCATGTCATATAACTGCCATTCTTTGATCATCCACCTACAAACCTGGACCCTAAGAAGTCCATTCCAGGTCATGGGAGCTCAATTTTATGACGCCCTTGTGACAATTCCTGGATGCGACAAGAACATGCCAGGCCAGACTTGAGTGTAAGAGTTTGGGGCTTGTACTTATTTTCGAGGTTGAAGGCTAATCGTAGCCTCGGATTCTGGATTGTTTAAGGGTTCAGCGGCGTAGGGTTACGTCGAACAAAGCCCTACACCCAGAACACCACAGCAGTTCTTTCAACCACTTCGGTAGTGTCGCCCGACGTGGTGCAGGCTGCGTCATGGCCATGATCCGGATGAACCGGCAGCCTATTCTACTATTGATATTGCGGGGGTTGAGGGTTTCGTATTTAGGGTTTGGGGCTTCTTGCGTTCACGTCCTGACCCGAAGCTGCATCTCAACCCTAATGACAGACGAAAGCGCAAAACTTTAAGCCTTAAGGCTGACCCTGATCCCAAAGCTTCACTTTTTATCCTGGTGGCTGCGAGATGAAGCATGCAAAGATCCTTTGTCCGAAATCTGCCTCAAACCGACAGCCCACATCAACACATTCAACCCCTAAATCTAAAAGATGATAAGCCTACCGAGGCCCTCTTTGATGCTCTATGGCGGAACCATTGCATCTGGGCGCTCCTGCAAGGGCGAAGACCTTGACATCGTGTCCACCTTCGAGGCTGTGGCATGCACATACGTTCACAAACAGTACATATACACCTACATACATAGACGTGCTGCTCATACATGCACACCTACTCTTAGACTTACACCTCCACCGACACCTGTGCCTTCACAGACATGTCCATGCCTACGGACATAGGCCTTTACATAAACATACAGTTACAAAGCGTGGGACTTTTCCAGGAATTTTCGTGCTAGTCTTAGCATCGTTTATGCAATACTTGATGTCAGAGGTACGCTCCAATATATGCATAGGCGGTTTTTGTGTTTTTCAAAGAGGTCGTTGCTGTCTTTTCTCGACTTGGCAATTTGTCTCAGGCGGATTTGGTTGCTCGACATGGCTATCCATCTGTCGGTCTTTCTGTCTGCCTGCCTGTCTGTGTGTCTGTCGAAATATCTGTGCATGCCTATGTTGTCGCGTGTAGAAATCCATACACTTAAATGCACGCACAGATGCGTGGGCGCGCTCACACACAGAGACACTAGAGACATATAGATAAATCTGTACATATGTATATATATATATATGTATACATATATATATATATATATTTATTTATTTATTTATTTATGCATGTATATATATATATGTGTGTGAATATATATACATATATGTATATATATATATATATATGCGTGTTATGTCTATGCATATGTCTACATCTAGATCGAGGTCTAGGTCTCCGTCTATGTGCATGTGCACATGCACGTGCACGTGCATGTATATTGTTTTTGTACATGTATATGTACACGTATTTGCATGTAAATGTAAACGTATATGTGCATGTGCATGTACAAGTATGTATGTACATCTGTACGTACGTATGTTGTGCACATGCACGGTTGGGCCTTGTGGTGATTGACACCAGCTGGAAAGGCGTATGGTAAGTTCATTGCTGGGACCATCTCTGACGAGGACTCGTGCCACTTCGTCATGGTTTGGGGATGTTCGGGTGTTGCGAGGACCGAGCAGACATCGTGCGGAATGCCTGTCCCGGGCCTGGGGCATGTGGTGGCATGTACACTGCCAACACCATGGCGACGGCCACCGAGGACAGCCCGGAACGCCCCATGTGAAGACACCTCACTATGTCACTAGACCCTATACATGGCCCTACATCTGACCTCTTGCTTGCCAGTATGCTGCTAGGGGCTATATGGCCGTAAGGGTACAAGGAGGGTCCTAAACAACGGAGAGCCTTTTCCTGTTTTGGTTTGTCAGGCCCTGGGGCTTTCGCTTCCTTACTCGAGCTCCTCGCCAGCCACGTCACCTGAGAAGCGGCAGCCTCATTCGCTTTGGGTCTCGGGTTCAGATACGGCTCAGGGGGTGTGTTCTCAAAGATGCAATCTATAAATGAATACATAAACAGATCAACAGGTATCTGTATATACATATCTGTATAATTTCGAATATATATATATATATATATATATTATATGCATAGAAAGTATGGAGCTTGAAGCTTGGAGCAATGCGATCCCCTGCAGTACTTTCAGATCCCGAGGCGAGCAGAGTGCGAACGGGTGGCGAAATGCGTCAAGGCGCTCCACTGCGCTCACGGCAGCATGTTGCGCAGCGGCACCGACTGCTTCTTTCACTTCAGGCCATGCTGGAAAGAAATCTGAAGCCCTTGGACATCGTCACAAAGAAGTCTTTTGAGAACGCCATCGTGCTCGTCAACGCGTTAGGCAGGGAAAGAGAGTTTTGTCGAAGCGCTGGTCGTCCGTGAGCAGCTTGTAGCTAGGCGGATCGACGAACGCAGTGCTTCACCTGCTTGCGATTGCAGCAACTGCTGGTGCCCCTTGGCAACAATGCCAGCAGTGCATTGGATCCACAGTTCGATGCCTTTGTTTCTGACTGAGATCGAGCTCAGCATAGATGATTTCCAACGGATTAGCGACAAGACCTCGCTGGTTGCCGATTTGAAGCCCAGCGGAAAATACCGGATGGAGGTGCGCGGCTTGAGCTGGCCTCTGTCGTGTTCATGGCCTCGCCAGCCAAATCTTATGCCTATGGTGTGCCAGGACGTGCACCGCATCGGTGGCATACCCGCTGTCATGAAGTATTTGCTCAAGCTTGGCTGGCTGCACGGAGACTGCCTCACAGTCCGGATCTTAGCCTGTTCGGCGATAGACATGCAACGGAGTTTTGCGAATGTCCGGTGAAGTTGATTACCGTGCTTCTTCCTGGCGCTGTCTCAGTGCACTGGGCAGACGTTGGCCCAGAATCTGGCCAGTGTTCCGGATCTGGATTTTGGTGCGCAGAGCGTGATGCTACCATTGGAGAAGCCGGGTGCTTACAAAGAGAAAGAGTGAGCCGGTTTCAGTTACAAGTAAGACACAACAGAGCCAGTGAGTATGCAATTCTTGCCATCACTCGACGTTCGGCTCTTCATGCAGGTGCATTCAGAAGACAGGCAACATCAAGATTTTGCCGCCTGGCAAACAAGATCGAAGAATCAGCCGTCAGGCTTGAAAACTTTCTGACAGGCGACGAGCACATGCTCCAGTCAAAGCTAACCTCCGCACAACATCACCTTGCTGAACAACAGTCTCGTCAGTTGGCCAAGTCCAAAATGCAGCACGGGAATATTAGCCTGGACCCTCTAACCTCCTTGGACAATTTAATTCTCAGTGGCTTAGCAACGAAGAAGGCACCGTGCAATGCCCTTGCATGATGATCCGTTGAACTCCAAACTAGGATTCAGAGCGTGCAAGAAAGAAGCAAGAAAGATGGTGCTGTAGCATCGCCGAATCTTCAGAGACAACGTCTTCACGTAAAGCTATGAGCATCTTCACCGAGGCGAGGCAATCTTTGCGTAGATGGTGCTGTCGCCAAGATCACGGGTAAGGAGGCATGGACTGATGAGTTGACTGCTTCAGGGGCAGATGGTCGACTTGTGTCATGTCGTCCCGATGGGACCAGAGTAGTGCGAATTGTGGGTGTTGCCACCTTGTCCCAGCAAGACCTCGCTTTACAGTTGTGGCACGCGGCCTCTGGTAGCTCTAGATACCCCCTAAGGCAACACGCATGCACCATGCGTTTGGGACCCGGTACTCGAAGCAAACTAGGTAAGATGGATGCTGACCATCGGAAAGGTCACAGCGGCTGTGGGCTGCTGGTAGGGTTTACTGTACCCCTCCGCAGTAAGAAACCACAGCTCGCTGGCTCGCAGCACCGTCGTACTGGCACGTCAGGGCACTTCCTTCACAGGCAAGGCGAACGTCTTCGACAGCGAGGCTTCCGTGGTTCCAATAAGTACTGCAATAAGAAATAAAGTACAGGACATACAAAAATCTAGCACGTCTACACATGTATCTAGATATATATATATATATATACATATGTGTGTATATATGTATATACTAAATAGGCATACATGCATGCACTATACATATACCATATACCTATACCTATACATGTATATACACTTGTGCATACATGTACACATACATGCATGCATGCATGCATGCATACTTATATTGTATCTTATGTTTAGAACTATGTATATATATATATATATAGTGTGAGAGTTCCCTTTCTGCCTGGAAACATACTGGCTTCTGCTTGCCTCGAGATTTTCTCTTGGGAGAGCGTGTTTGGAAGCCCCAGCGCATTGAGCCAGAGTTTTAGTTCAGATGCCTTTGCAGCTCCCGCTCAAGTCAAGCCCTTCTGCTGTGCACTACCTTCGAGACGTAGCCCTAACCTGAAAGCCTTAACGTTGCTGCAGACCAGAAAAAGAGCTCTCCCAAAATCCAACCTACTTCTTGCTAGCTTTGGAGGAACTGATGCTGAAGGGCCTGGAACAAGGCAAGATCAACAAGGCAGCCTCGGGTTGGGGGTCTAGAGGGTTTAGGGTTTAGGGAAAGGATTGAGGATGCACGGACTATCGAGCATCTATGTCTCTCGACTTGCTGCAGGGAGATTTCATCGTGATTCGCTATGAGGGCCCAAAGGGTGGCCCTGGGATGAGAGAGATGCTAACACCAACGTGCCTGGGCTGCAGGGAGCAAGGGATAGGACAGCAGCAGGCCATTTCAGCTACGTCAACAAAGAGCAGAAATTCGCAAAGTGCTGCAGCTTGACTTCTTCAACGTGGTTTCGAGGAGTGCGCTTATGGGTGCCGGACTGGGGAAGTACGTGGCGTTGATGACAGACGGCCGCTTCTCGGGTGGATCGCATGGCTTCATCATCGGCCACGTGTCTCCAGAGGCGCGGTTGGGTCCGGTTGGGCAACAGCTCGGAGCCGTTCCTTTCCCCCGAGAATGGCCAAAGCCCGTCGTGTGTCTTTTAATTAGATGAGACATGCTGCTTTCCCTGAGGCCTTCATCGGTGGAGCGATTGCGTTGATTCAGAATGGTGGCTTGTGCTCTTATGTTTACGGGGAGCACTAGTGGCCGATGCCGCTTCTGCTTCGTTGTTGCATGCCAACCTGCATGCATACATTACATTGTGACATGTATACAATGTATACATACAGACAGCCAGACCGACAACAGACAGACAGACAGGCAGACAGACACACAGAAGGAAAGACAGAAGGACAGACAGACCGACCGACAGGCAGCCAGGCAGAAGCACAGACATCATGCATACGTACATACAAACTTACATGTACACTTTCGTCTGACCATATATAAGTACGCCGCCTTGTAGGTTTATATGTATCATGTTCGTTTGTCTGCATGTCTGACGCGTGTATGTTGTCGCTGGTATGTATGTGCGTAAGTAGGTATGCATGCGTGTTGTTTGTATGTGTATGCTTGTGTCTATACCTGCATGGCATGTACGCATGTCTGCACGTGTGCATGTGTGCATGTGTGTATGTATGTATGTATGTATGTATGTATGTATGTATGTATGTACGTATGTATGTAGGTAGGTAGGTAGGTAGGTAGGTAGGTAGGTAGGTATTTATGTATTTATGTTTGTATGTATGTACCTATGTATGTACCTATGTATGTATGTATCTATGTATGCATGCATGTATGTATGTATGTATGTATGTATGTATGTATGTATGTTATGTCCTGCGAGGGCGGGTTCATGTATTGCCATGTGATGTCGGGTCATGCATGTCTGTATGTATGTAAGTAAGTAACTATGTTTGTATGTATGCATGCATGTATGTATTTTTCATGTATGTATCTGTGCATGTACGTATGGATGTATGTATGTATGCATGTGGGTAGGTATGTATGTATGTATGTATGTATGTATGTATGTATGTCTGTGCGTGTGCGCATGCATGTGTGTGTGTGCGCGTGTGTGCATGTGTGTGCCTGTGTATGTATATACATATATATATATATATATGTGTGTGTGTGTGTATGCATGCAAGTAAGTATTTATGCATGCATGTATTGCATGTATGTCGTGCATGTGTGTAGCCAAATTGGCATACATACATATACATATACATATGCATATATACATATACATATATGCATATACATGTACATATACATACGTAGATACGTTCATACATGCATAAGTTCATACGTACAGATGTACATGCAATGGCACACATATATATACACACACACGCACAGAGGCTTGCCTGCCCGCCTGCCGGTCTGCCTGCATGTATGTCAAAGAGAACACAGTGTGTGATAGATTGATAGATGCACAGGCAAGGCAACACACACACACACACGCACACATGGGCATGAACATGTGCTTAAATGAATCGTGAGAAGCGAAATTGGTGAATGGGACAGGCAGTTGACTAAAGTAAACGAATGCGAAGACAGATAGACAGATCGGTAGACAGATAGACCGATAGATACATAGATAGATAGACTGATAGATCGCAAGATGGGTAGTTAGATAGTTAAGTAGAGAGATGGATAGATAGATAGACAGACAGGTAGTTAGTTAGATAGGTGCGTAGATAGATAGGTATGGGTGTCGACAGATAGGTAAGCCGACAGATCGATCGATAGATAGGCAGGTAGACAGTATGGTAAGATCGATAGACAGATAGATAGATAGATAGATAGATAGACAAATAGGTGATTCTGGTACACAGATACACAGATAGATAGATAGATAGATAGATAGACAGCAAATAGAGAGATACACCTTGATTACAGGAAAGGCCTGTATGGGCCAGCACACCTGAGGTGATATGATTACCGTGGATGCAACAAAGCTGCAGCTCTTTATGGATGTGTCCGACGAGGAGCTCGCAAAACGAAAAGCCGCGTGGAAACCGCCGCCGCCGAATGTTCCTCGCCGGGAGAAGTGTCGCGGAACTGAGATCGCAAAACTTTAGTCGACATGCTCCATATGGGCCCAGGTGAAGACAGGATACCTTGCCAAGTATGCAAAGCTGTCCAGCTGCAGTATGCTTGTCGTTTTGTGATGATGGCTTGAGCATCTTGTCCTTGTCAATGAGGCTTGTTGCGTCCGCTAGCCTGGGCTGCGTGACGGATCGATAAAGTTTGAATGCAACGAAACGATATGATTATAAATCCAGCGATTGATGCAAAGAGATGTCGCGCTGGACAGGCTGCTTGGATGCAGCTTCGAAAGGTTCCAGACCTCGGGTTGAGGAATGTTGAGGATCAGGATCAACAGACGGGCTCGAACAGGCTGAGTGCGCGTATAACAGACTCTAAACCCCAAGCCCCACCTAAACCCTAAACCCTAAACCCTAACCCCTAAACCCTGCCTAAGGTTTGCCGGGGTGGCCCCATGGCCTGCGCGGCCTTTGCTGAGAGCCCCAGGCTGGGCCATGTCTCTGAGCATTCCAAGAGTCGGAGGTCCTTGCTGTGGGTTGAGGGTTTAGGGTTTAGGGTTTAGGGAGGGTTTGCAGGGTTAAGCGCTTGAACCCCAAACCCTACAGCCACTGAATGGTTTAGTTCGTGTTTGTGGATCTAGCCGCCCTGTAGCTGCGATATGAAGCCTTCCTCAGCCTGAAGTCAGGCCTGAAACCGACTCGCAGAGCTTTGGTGAAGAGTGACCAAGCTCTGGCAAAGTTCTCCTCGGACCCTAAACCCTAAACCCTAAACCCTAAACCCTAAAACCCTGCCTGGTGGCAGACAGTCTCGGGCCCAGGGCACAAAGAGCATGTACAGACCGAGCGGAAAGATGGTGAGAACACAAAGAATTCGAGCTGTGACGTCTGCGCGCATACTATAGAAGCCTAAACAATTGTTAATATTATTGCTAGGGTTCCTTATTATAAATATACTATAACGGAGCCCAAAACCCTGTTAGAATTATTACGGCCCCTACATAAGCTTCCTGATGTGATGAAGGGGTCTTACCAGAAGTTGTCGCTGCCCACTCGGCTGGCTCCAACCATGGTGGCATGGTCGGGGCTTTTAATGGCTCAAGCTAGAAAGCCATGGCTTGTCAGTTCAAAAACAAAGGCAGCTGCAGGCTGGCATGGTGCATGAAGGGAACCCGTGGATGACAAAATCAGCTTGAGGCTTCGTGACAAAACAACCTGGCGCAGCAAAGCACGTGTCTTGCAACAAAGCTGCTCTCTTTTCTCAACGGCCTCTTTCCTGTCCCTGTCCGGCGACTCGGAGCAGTTGGATTCAGTGCTGTCCTGAGCTCAGAAGAACGCTCTTGCCTGTCGGAAGTGGAAGTGTGGCTTGTGACGGACTATCGAGAGCCCAGATCACGCGATGGCGAACTCCAGTGTGCGGGCCTTACTGCTGCTCTTGCAGCCGAAGTGCGCGCGAGCCTTGCGAGTGAAGCTCATGTGCACTGCAACATCTGTTGTGGGCCTGCCATTAATAGTTGCGATCTTCGATATTCCTTGTCGGGGCCTACAATGGGAGAACAAAGGTAGTCACGACGTGATCCTCCCATTGAAGTTGTGAATTCTTGATGGCCGCGGCAGTCCGCAAAAGCCCCTAGACTCTGAACCCCCATCCCTTAAATCTTCAACCCTAAACCCCTGTAAGCCCTAGAAGCCCCGTAAAATTCCTATAAGTCCTCAAATCTTAATGCCCTAGCAGGTAGTTGGCCCGGCGCTGGCCACGCAGGACGCCTGCGCGCAGAAGGCTTCCAGCCCTTCGAAAGGCGTAAAGCCGGGCCCCCAGCAATCGAGATTGAGTTTGCTCGTTTCGGAAGTTGTCGAAATCAGTGAAGCAAAGGTTCCCCACAGTGTGGTAACACTATGCGTTCTTGCGTGAGGAGTCAAGAGGTATCATGATTCGTCCTGCGTGCGGCGATTGGTGGTCCTTGTCGTCCTGGTCGTCTTGGTTGTCGTAGTGGTCGTGATCGTCGTGGTGGTCCTAGTTTTCGTCGTCGCAGTGGTGCTCGTCGTGGCGGTTCTGGTGGTCCCGATTATCGTGGTGCTCTTGGTCGTCGTGGTCATCGTGCTAGTCGTCCTGATCGTGTTGGTTGTCCCGGTTGTCGCGGTGGTTGTGGTGGTCGCTGTCGTCCTGGTCATCTTGGTGTTGGTTGGTCGTGTCCTGATAACCTGATATCTTCGACGCTTGCATCATAGTCCATGGTCTTCCAGGTTTGGGGAGCTACGCTGGCCTAAGAGATAAGGATCCTATGATTCGCGTGATTTGGGGGCCCCCTTCAGCGCGAGGATTTTGGTTTGGGGGTTTAGGGTGTTCAAGTCTTGGTTTTAAGGTTTACGATTTAGGGCTTCTTGAACTGGGGCGTTCCTTGTAACAAGGGGGTCCTTACGGTGAGAACAGGCTCCTATTCCTTGGCATCTCCGCAGAAGCAGGGGGATCCTACATCGCGGCTTCCCAGAGACTCCAAAACCCTGTAAACCCTAACTTAAGCTTAAGGAACGTACCGTAGATACCCTTATAAATCAAGGATTCCCTCATAATTACTATGATTTTACAAGGCATATTCCTGATTCAGGGGGTTCTAAAATTTTGTAGGGTTAGGACCTATACCGAGCCGACTTGGTGGGGATCCCCGCGAAGACCCCGGGACTCAAAGGACCAAATGCCGAACACAGGAGGTCCACGAACTGGAAATATTTTCGTTCTGTAGTCGCCCTCTCTCCATGGCATCCCGCTGTACGCATCTTACACTGCATCAGCGATAGTTTAGCCGTGAACTGTCAAGACCTCGGTCGTGAACCCAGGCGCCGACGCTTATCGATGTCGCTCTCAACGACATCGCAGACCCGCAAGGTCCACGTTCCGCGTGGTTAGAATTCGGATTCAGGCCTGCAGCGCGTATGATAGGCCTTGTTACTATCTCTTGACCGGTGGTTTTCGGTTGTGGGGGAGGCCTCCACAGCACCCTAAACCCTAATCCCCTAAACCCATCCTGACTCTTAGCTTAGAGGCTCCTACGAACTCCTATGGGTTTTTTGCCTTTAGCGTTTAGGGTTTAGGTTATTAAACCCTGAACCGGTGGCAGTGCTCGCCCAACGAAGCCCAGGTTCTACTAAATTCGTGTTGCGAACTTGGCCAGCTGTCAAGAGAACCAGTCCAAAAAAAGAACGGAGCATCTCAATAATCTGAAGTTCACTGATGCCCCAAGCCTTTCCCAAACCCCCTTTAAAGCGCATAGAGCCCAAGATCTCAGAACCCCTAAACCCTAAACCCCCACGTGTGAAGCCCTGATGACAAGGGCCTAGGCCCTCACTCCACGCTCAGCCCATGTACGGAACAGGTCGCGCGGCGGGCCATCGCTGCGCCCTTCAGCCCGGGGCTGAACTGGAGGAGCCCAGAAGAAGCGGTTGAAGATGAGGATCCGATCTTTTTGGGTGCAGGGCGTAGGATTTTTACTGTAGAGTATGGTCCGGGCCTATGATTCAGGGGAAACTCAAACCCTCAGCTTCCGAAGAGTCGACAAACAAAGCCTACGCCCTGCCACGCCCCACAGTTCAACGACAAGCCTCTAAACCTTAAGCCTCAGAAACCACTCAGACTGCCCTAAACTCTGCCACAAACATCCCGAAGACTTGAACCTCACGCCCTAAACTGAACCAAAAGCCCTAAACCCTACGCACCCTCTGTCCCCGATGCCCTTGACCCGGACCCGGTTACTACCAGGCTCTTCAACAAGGGGCTCCCAGAGACTCCAAGATCCTACTATAACTTGGTATCTTCCTTACTCAAGGGATATTCCTACTATAACTTAAGGTCTCTTCCTGAATTAAGAGGTATTCCTACTATAACTTAAGGTCTCTTCCTTTATTAAGAGGTATTCCTACTATAACTTCAGGTCTCTTCCTTTATTAAGAGGTATTCCTACTATAACTTAAGGTCTCTTCCTTTATTAAGAGGTATTCCTACTATAACTTCAGGTATCTTCCTTCATTAAGGGGTATTCCTACTATAACTTAAGGTCGCTTCCTTACTTAAGGGAGATCGGAGCCTCTGGGCTACCCTAAAGGGGCCTTAATAAATAGAATCGGGTTTGGGGGTTCCTTATTGTAAGTATAGTAGAATATACCGCCAAAGCCCTATTCAATTTATTAAGGCCCCTATGCCCTAAGCCCTTATAGTCGCCCTTATCGAACCCCTTAATTAAGGAGCGCTTAAAGGGAACCTCTAAAGCCCCTATTCCAATTATTAAGGCCC